CTTGAAAAAGCCAACTTACTGAAATCCTATTTAAACTTCTTCTTCTTCTTCTGAGACATTTTTTAAAATTTTTAAATGTATCTCCTCCTAGACTTTTAAAGCTACAACCACCAAACTCGGGTCAGACCTTCAGACTGGTCGGACTCGGGTTGCTATATCTTTTCTAACTGATCCGGCTTATGGTTTTCGTAAACCAGACTATCAAAACCAAAACAGCATAATTTCTATTAAATTGCTAATCATGTTAACAACATGCTAGTAACTTGCTAATCATGCTAACAACATGTTAGAAACATGCTAGTAACTTGTTAACCATGTTAACAAAATGATAACGCCATGCTAGTAACATGCTAATCATGCTAGAATCATGCTTGCAACATGTTATTAACTTGCTAGTCATGCTAGAAACATGGTAGTAACTTGCTAATCATGCTATCAACATGTCAACCATGTTAGAAACATGATAGTAACATGTGAATCATGCTAGCAACATGCTAGCAACATGCTAGTAACATTTTAATCATGCTAGCAACATGCTAGCAACATATGATCAAATAAATGCAGCCTTGGTGAGCAGAAGAGACTTCTTTCCTTCTCTTCTGTTTGAGCTACAGAAACACTTCCACTAACTTAACTGGTCACCAGCACTGAAGTGAAGAGAAGGGAATTGAACTGAATTTAATTGAATTGAACTGAATGTTGTAGTTCCGTCAGTGCTTAATAGCAAGCCACGACTGGCCTGTAAATGGAATCATTCTTAGTTCTAGTGAACGGAGTCTCCTGACGATTCCTCATGTGTTTCTCAGGAACACTGTGGAATATCTCCTCCCATGAGCCTCTGAAGATGATCGTCATCAACCACGGCCTGCAGACGCTGATCGACGAGATCATTATCCCTCACTCGGGTTTGAGAGGAGACCCGAACGACCCGGCCCGACCCGGAGCCCCAGAGTGGAACACGGTCTTCAAGAACACTTCAGGATGCCTGAGGTTCGCTTTTCTCTAGGGGTGTAACGGTACATGTATTTGTACCGAAAATTCTCGGTACGGGTCTTTCAAATCGTTCAATTTTTTCAGGAAATTCAGACAATAAATGCCGTTTTGACGCTCTTTGATGCGGCGCGACAGATCGCCGTAAACTAACGCCTCATTTCTAACGGAAGCACGGAGCGCGATCATCCCTTCATCTTTATTACTAGATTTAACGCAAAATATACATGAATGAACATCTCACCCCTTGCGTAATCGCTCAATTAGTGTTTCAACCGCGGAAAGATTAAAACAGCTGTCACGTAGCATTTCATTTACCTCAGGCATTTATATCAGTGTCTCCAGCTCGTTATTTGCTAGAGAAATGAAGTCTAGTGAAGAGCATTTTGTGAAATATTAGACTAAGCCTGTACTTCATTTATTTTACGTGTTAGTGATGTCTTAATTATTTAATGCATATGTTTAAATAAATATTTTATGAAACAAGTTATGACTCTGTAAATTATACAAATAGAAATTGTATAATTTAGAAGTTAATTTAAAAACAATTTACATGTTTGCATAAAATTTTTTTATTTGAGTGCTGAAGTTAAAAATAAATAGTAATTGAAATTAAGTTTGGGCTCTGTTGTTAATTATAACCTTACAGTAATGTAAAAGGGCTTACTATAGTTTAGAGCAGAAGCTGAGGTAGATTTTTATCCCTGAAAAAAATTTAATTATAATTGGATTTATTTAAAGAAAGAGCAATTTGTTCAGTAATCCATTGTTAAATGTAAAAAACAAAACAATTTATGTTTAGTTTTTTTCCTCCTGCTGTACCGAAACTATACAGAACCGTGACGTCAAAACTGAGGTACGTACCGAACCGTCATGTTGGTGTACCGTTACACCCCTACTTTTCTCTGAATGCGCTGCAGCTGCCAAACCGGCTCAAATCAAGCTCTTTAACCCTCATAATATTATTTTATTAAATAGTCGTAAATTCATATTTTTTCAATTAAAACCATATTGTATCTGATCAGCAACTTTTCATTAATGAGTGAATGTGAAAAAATTCAAAGTTTTTAATGTTTCCATGCTATTACTGTATTTACCCCTTTTTTATTAATTAAGAAATTTAGATTACATATGAACTACACCAAAAAAAAACTATGATGCAAAATATGTAGATTTGTTTTTCAATATTGAGGCAACATTTTATTTGAATATATCATTGTATGAAATTTATAAGAACATATAATCCCAGTATTAACCCCAGTGGAATGAATTGAAGTTCAATTAAACTCATGATCCAAATTTATAAAACCTACATTTTTTTTTTTCTAACAAAACAACATCAAAGCAACATAAATATTACTCTGAAAAGTTTTCAAACAAAATAAATTCATTTTACTTGCATAAACT